AAAAAAGCGTCAAAAGCACAACATTCTAGAGCAAAAATACACCCCAAGCTACATTTTCTGAGCTATCTAGCAACTTTAGCGGCTTGTGCGATCTCTGATAACCGACTGTAACACACATAGATACATTCATACGTGTTGTTTCAGGACAATATGTTGAACGATAAGTTACGTGTTGTGTGATCAACACTTATTTTTTGGATATTTTAGATATGCTATGCGACAGTAGTTTACATTAATTGATGGTATTCTTGTTATTGTGATGTCATTTACCATGATTCGATATGACATGTTGTAATTTGTTTAAACATTATATGATCTCATTGGATAAATGCATGTTGCTACAATGCTTTCAGGCTACCTGCTTGTTCGGTTGTTTTCTTGTTTAAATCACGGACTCAGGCTGCCGAGAACCTTCCGCAAAACTTGTTGGAGACACCCGAGCAAGTTCTTGAGGCAGGGCGAATCTGTGAAATGAATCGGTGCAACCTGAACGGAGCAAAACACAATTGTAACATTTCTATACATTTCTTGCTTGAGTGGATTGAGCGTGCTTCAAGGATGGAAGCTTTAAACAGAGGGGAGCTGGACGTCCTTAACAGATTAGCAGCACACATCGCGGTGATGGTCGCTTTGACCCGTTTGAAAAGGTAGAGCACAATTGATTTTAGATGATTTTCGTGCTAGGTCGTTTTGGTGAATAATAGTGTTGGATACGTGCAGAAGAAGAGAGTAGCAGCAAGAAGTTACTATATAGCAACAAGTGCATCGCTACTAGTAACAAGAAGCTACTAGGTTGGAGGCTGTAAATTCGGTAGGGAGTCTCACAGTCCAAAACACAACTGGTCACCTTTCTCACACAACCAAAATCCGAGCACAACGTTGGTTTTCCGACAATGCAATGGCGGCAAGGTCGATAGAACGTCAGGCTATACAAACTAAGATCAGGGCACGTCTCGGGCCCAAACACCATGGATACGCTTTTGGTCAACATACACATTCACATTCACACTGGTCCAAAAGTTTTCTTGACTGAAATGTGATTCATCTAAATTGCACACAAGATTCATCCAATCGGGATCACCGTACTTCGCTTCCACTTGCTTCAACTGTTTCCTCTTTTTGCCAGACACAAAGCTAGGATCAAACATGATCCTCCAGGTAGTTTGATTCAACGCTTGAATCAGTTGCTCACCTTTCCAGGGTTTTGTAAGACCATCAGCAAGTTCCTGATCCCCAGACACCCACCGACATTTCACGTTGGTCTGGTTCAGCCTCTCCTTGATTCCCAAAACCTCAATAGAGGACCTCCTTTCCTCCATTTGTAAGCCACATGTCTGTACACGCTCCAAAGCATCATATACATTCTTTGCATCGCTGAGTATGCATGATTCTTCTTTTGCCAAAATTGGATCAGCGTTTCTCAAGTCAATCTTTCCGGGATTCTTCATCATGTACATAAATAATTTGACAAACTCATGCTCGTCTAAACCGTTTCCAGTCATTTGAACTTCTGCACTGGTTGAAGATCTTGCAATACGTCTGAGTCGCCGGCTTGTCCAAGTCAACACTGAAAAATGGCACAGCTTTCCGGACAAAACTTCCTTATTCATCAGGATGGTAATAGAGCCACCCTGTGAACTGCCGTCACGACGGGTCGCCCAAGACGCATCACAAAAAGTCAATACCAAACAATCTTGAACTTGATGAGGGAAGCTCAATTTGACATGACTGTGTCTTCTCTGCCAACGAATTGCATTGTTTGTTTCAAGCAAGTCATTCACTGGCACTTTCTACGCATCCTTGAAGGTGGGACACCGTTGAAAGAAGCCAAGGACATGTTTGCACTGCTCGCCAATTCAATGCACCTAGAGCTCTTCTCATTTCAGACTTCTCTGAGGGTGTGACCACATCATGTTTCTGTAATTTTCTCTCCCGATCCAAGTTGATCTCATCAATTGACAATGAAAAATTCTCTTGGTTCACCAAAATATCATATTCCGCAGTCTGAAAAATATCACAGCCACAGAACTTAATATTCTTGTCTTGAGCACAATCCCAACTTCCAAAAGGGAACGACTGTCGGAGTTTCTGCACCTGTTGCTCGAAATAGGGTCCAGCTCCTGCCACAATCAAGTCGTCAACATGAGCACCTAAGTATCCGCAGATCTCCTGAGTGTCAGGATTGGTCATCAGAAATACGCACTGGTCAAGCTGATGTGATTGCCATCCTTGACTCCATAACACGGATTGAAGTTTCTCAAACCACTTACGAGGAGCATGGCACAAACCGTACACGGCTTTGGCAACACGCCACAGTTCATGAGGTTTCATGTTCAAATATTGTTTGACTTCCTCAGGTGGTTCAGCCCAAATCTGTCTCTCCAGTTCCGTTTGATCTCCGTTTAAATAGGCTGTTTTGATGTCACCGATGTACACTCAAAGTTGCAGCTTCACGTGGAACGGTCAGCAATTCAGGGTCCATGTAACCCTTCAAAATCAATCTGGCTTTATCTTTTCTACCAGTTTGAATTCCGTCTTCATTCACAACAGGTTTCCAAATCAACACCCATCTCATGCCTAAAATATGCTCATGTGGAATACCAGCACGTGCACAATTTCAACTGCACTGTTGTTTGTGAAAGAATCAATCTCGTTTCCCATAGCTGTTTCAAATTCTTTCCTATCTTCTTCTGACAGTTTGCGAAGACAGACCTCAGCATTCCTTTTTGCCTTTTGATTCAAAACCCAAATCCCTTTTTGAACATGAACGTCTCTAGCTGCTACCGTCAAATGAATCTCAACCACTTCTGTTGACTGGCAAGCTTGGGAAAACAGCACATCCATTCTTTTCTCGTGATCCTCAGGTATGGTCTGCAGGACAGGCCTCGAAGCACTTGACGCTTCTTCCTGTCTTATAGTTGGAGAATCTCTGTATGGAGTTCTACTCCTATGCCTTCTTTGAGGATTCTCTACCCGATGTTCAGTTTCTCTGCGATCTGTGCGATCAGCATCTCCATGTGGGTCATGCGCATTTGCATCATTGCTGAGTCTTCCTGCAGCTTCTGAACTTCTGGGTGTGTCTCCTCTGTTGTCACCTTTGTCCAGGCATCGAAGTCGACCCGCTCGATCTTCTCGTCGAAGAGCGCGTCCATCTCGCCACGCTTCTTGCTCCACTCTGTCTTCATTTGGTGACTCTCTTTTTGTCCCCCGTAGCCCTCTTTGTTTTCCATCTGGTCCACCAGCTTCTGTGTTCGACGTGTCAGGTAGATCACGAACATCTGCATGGTGGGGTTGCTCTTCGAGGGATCCACGTGGGCCGCCACCCATTCTGCGTAGCCCGGTTCCAGAGCCGCTTCCTCGAAGGTCAATCCCTTGTGCTTCCCGAAGTCGATCTTCCATGTCTTCAGATCTGCCATTGGCATGGTCTGAGCTCGTTCCACACCTCTTTTGCGGCGGTCTTGTTCCCCAACTTCTTCAGCTTCTCGAGGTTCTCCTTGAGGGTTGGTTCTGGCTTGCTTCCGGTCCCGCTCATGGCTGATGGTCAAATCGGGTGGTTCCCAATCTGGAGGCCGTTCGACCGTCAAAGATCTTTTACTTGAGCATCGGAACCGAGGCACACACTCATCTGGTGATTGTGTTGGCATCTCACAATCTTCAATGGCCAAATCATGAAATTTTTGTTGTTTCCGCAACGTTTGATACATCGTTTCAAAATCAGCGGTCCATTAACTTCTAGGTCAATCTTCTGCACATCTTGAGTCACAGGTCTGAGCTGTTCAGGTGAACATCGAAGGAGGAACCCAGCATGACTCACCCAAACAATTGATCCGAGATGATTGGTCAAAACTTGTTCCGAACTCTTCTCGTGACACAACACCCTACCTGGTCCATGCCATCGACCTCCTACTCTAGTACCTTCCTTTCTATCTCTTCTATAGTAGTACACAAGCTGTCCTAGAGTATACTCTCTCAGTGGTCGACTCTGCGCTCGGAGTGCACGCTGAAGACGGCGTTGCGAATCTGCCTCAATGAACAGTTTCCTGGCTGCGGCTTCTCTTTTCAGGCTGGTCTCAAAGTCTGTGTCGTCCCTCTGGCTTCCCCAGGGCAGGTGTCCATCAAATTTCAGGAAGGAACTGATTCGTCCGTGGTTTGCTCCAAACTGCCATTGGTTAGGCGTGTAGCCCCCTCACATTTTGCACTTCATTCTTCGCCATGACAGCGAGATTCAGCAGTTCACGGGCGTCAGTGTTGGGTCCAAGTTCATAGGCCAACAAATTGGCATTCTCCTTCAAAATCTGGAGGTGTCTGGAATGTTTTCCCATCTGCCAAGCGCTCTCTCCACTTATGGGTTCCATTTTCATTCCAAGACTCTCTAACCAGCTCACTAAATCAACACCCCTCATATACCCTTCTTCATCATATGGGTTTGTATTTTTTTGGCGTGTACTTCCTGATGTAGTGGTTGGAAGTTCGACTTGAGCGATTCATACCCTCGAATCATACCTCGAATCATACCCCCGAATCATACCCCCGAATCATACCCCTCAAAACGTTGCACGTAAGAACCAGGTGTTAAGGTGAAGTTTTTGGTTGGTCTTTGTGCCTTGTAGATGTCCACGAGCCAATGGTGCATGACGTTTGCAATTGTGTGATCCATGGGCACTCAATTTGGCCAAAATTGTTTGTGTCTTCTTGTGGGACGAGCAAAGGCTCACATCCCAGGGGTACTCATAATGTTCCCATGTGCTCTCCCTTGAGAAGAAGAGCCAAAGGACCGCCTTCTTTTGCAGAATCTAATGGCCATACGAATCACACCCGATTCATGCCCGATTCATACCCGAATCACGCACCTCCACACAGCCTCCCACCCATCCCACATCCTGGTTGCTTTGGTGGGGCCTGCAAAGGGCCACTGGAGTCTTTGGTGGAAGAGTGCATTTGCCTAGTCTGCCCAGCATCCAACAGATGCTGCTTGCCTACTGCCTCGGCGCAGAGTGGGCCCACTGCTGGAAGTCCAGCTAATCCAACAATACAACTTCAAAGCTGCGAATCATCTGCGAATCATACCCTCGAATCATACCCCCGAATCATACCACGAATCATACCCTCGAATCATACCACCTATTCAAACTTCCCGACCCGACTACGGTAAAAAAATACACACCCATATCTCAGTTTTTGGGGTATGGGAAAGCGACGAATCCAACCATCTGAGAAACCTTCTTTGAACTCCTTTCCGGAAATTGAGTGCTGGGGTTTTGGTTCCGTGTCTCACAATATGTATCGTGTGATAGTCGGTCGCTTCATCAAACAAGGAAATCCCAACAACATGTTGTCCGGTTTGTCCATCCGTAAGCAATTCCTTAGGAACATGCCACCAAAAAGTGTCCACACTAACACATTCCCATTTGTTCCTAATGGGAGGAGGCGTGGCTGGATGACAAGGAGCTCTGCGTCCTCGCTGCAAACAGTGATCACAGCGAAAATTTTCAACCTGCTTCAAGACAGCCGGAGGCACACCTGCATCCTTGAACATGCGTTTCATGACTTGTGGATTGGGATGCCCCAGATTTCGATGAATCAATCGTATTTGGTTCAAAGTGCGTGGATCAGCATCCTGGTTTTGTTCGTCCATAACAAGGTCTTGAAGTATCTTGAACTGAGTTGTCCCCGTCCATTGTCCATGTGTATTCTCATGGTCCACAGGATGGTCTCCAGGCTCTCTCCAGTTGTCATCATGTTCAATCTGATGTCCATCTGAGAATTCAGCCACTGTTCGGCGCCACGATGAAATCTTCTCCAACTCAATTGGGCTATCTACCTACCTCATGTGGATTGAACACCTGCGAACGAGGCTTGACATGGTGACGGATCAAGTATCCGCGGTCCTGGCTCCAATAGTCTTGACTCTCGTTTGCCAAAACATTGGATGAGTTCTCAAATGGAACATGCAAACATCGAGCTTGAACTGGTTTCAAAATGGCCTTGGCAAAACGTGTGCACAGTCGTCTGGGATAGACAGCTGTTTGTGCTGTCAGTTCGCCTTCCACTGGAATGTGCATCTCTCGATCGTGTGTACACTTACTTTCCAGGGCTTCTCTCACACTCACTAGAGTACTAAACCAACCCATGGCTTCCTAATGAGCTTGTGTGATTGAGTATCTATTATTCCATGACAACACCCATGCACCGTGAACCGTCCCCCACACATCCTAGCCATGTTTCCCATGTCCGTGGCTCTCCAACTCTGTGCTCTGAGCGGGTGTTCACCTCCACCATGGAAGGTTTCACTGCGCCCACCTTGGCCGTCCAGTTCCTTAAGTTGAATTTCCAGCAAACGAGCGCACCTGGTGATCAGTCGCTTGCTGCTGCATCTCATGTGTTCAAACTCTTGTCTTTGTTTTCCGTCTCGTTTGGTACAGTTTTTCAATGAACTCCACAAGAAACATGGTGGTGACACATGTAGGTACCTTGGCCTCAGCTCACGAATAGTAGCAATAGCCTTCCTGTAACCTTCCTGTGTGGTGAGGTCATACCCATTGTGTATGCCTAGTGCAAGTGAGGTACCTCCCAAATCCCTGACAGCCTGGCACAAAGGACTATCCCAAGGGGCACACAACTCAAGCAAATCGATTCGATGACCTCCTACAAGACCTTCGAACACCCGATCACCTTCGTGAACAATGTTCTCAACCTGTTTCATCACCTTGTTGTGCTGTTCCATGTGCAGTATGCTTTCCGGGTAATCCTGATCACAATTCATGTCAACAAAACATTCTTGATGAATCACTGCGTTTCCATCGTTCTTAAAATCACTTCCACTCAAGGCTATCAAGCTGTGTCTAGCTTGTCCATTGCAGCCTTGGTGGAGCTGTTCCTACTCGTCCACCGTGCCCTGATCCCCAGTGTTGGCCTCATCGAAGGCCTTTCCTACATCTACACTGGCCGTCTTGTGCGGCAAGTCGGCATCTTTCCGGCTCAAGGTGTGGACCGCCTGGTCGATGTCGTCCTCTTTCGCAAACAGCTCTTGCAGCGCTTCATAATGGCCAGCGAAAGCGGTCAAGGGAAGCATCAAATGGTTGCTTTCTGTTCGCTCCAATTGCACTTGTCGATCACTCAGCTTCAGAAAAACAGCTTTTCCTGTCCGGAAGTTGATGGTGGCGTCCATGTCATAGAGAAACTTGGATGACAGCAGAAACGGTGTCTTTCCTTCAACCAGGTGTGATTGTATTGTCACCATCACCTCTTTTCCACAAATACCTGCATTCACATGTGACAATCCCAACCCAGCTGATGACTCTCCATTTCCAAAAACAAATCGTTTGTGAATCTGTCTGTCAACAACTATCTCTGTACTTGGATCAAATTCCAGCTCCTCCAAACATTCTGCCAACTCTTGTAGCGTCTCCGCACCCACAATGTTGTCTGAAGCTCCTGAATCAACAATGGCCTTCCCTCGAACATCGGCTGGCTGTAGTGCCAAGACCTGTCCGGTTGCCGTCTCCTGAGAACACAACACCCATGATGGATCACTAGTGACCTCTTCCGGTGTTGGGATCATGTTCCCATTGACGGTCTCACTGATTGGCACGTTGGTCAAAGAATGCACCTCCGGGTGTGCCTCAGTGTACAACGGTTTGTCTTCATTGCACCAACCCACATATCTAATGCTGTTGCTACCACTGCCTGTTGGTTTCTGTGGACAACGTTTTGCTGTGTGTCCCTTCTTACCACAACGAAAGCAGATTCGATCAGCATCTGATGTCGGTGCTTTGCTTCTGGCGTATGAACGCATCGACTGACTTGCCTTTCCCCTGAACTGTCCTTGTCCAGGGGGTTTCACTGGATAGAAGCCACGTGCAGTTCGGGCTTGATCCAATGCTCTTCGAGCTTCCTTGAAATTGGCCAAAACCTCTGCACTATCCTCTGTATCTGCAAGCAGTTCTGCTGTGGCATCCTCGCACCACTCTTCCAGTTCAAAGATCTCCTCAGTCTCCTCTCCATCCATGTCAGCTTCCGGTTTGTCTATCACCTCATCTTGATGATAGGCTTGTCCAGCAGCCAGGGTCTTCTTTGGTCGAAGTTCTGCATCACGACTCCCAAGACCTCCACTGCTCCACATCAACCGTAAGGCTGTCAGGACATCGTCAACCTTGTAGGAACTGGCCTTGCCACGAATATTGGCAGTATCGGGCGGTGACATCCTCATGAACACGTTCAAAAGGAACCATCCGGTACACCTCAGGTGGCATTTTTGCACTTGAGTTTGTCTCTGCAATCGCTCTCTCCATCCGGCGTACGAGGGTCTTGAACCTTGTCTCGTAGTCATTGATCTCCTCGCCATCCCGACGGCAAGCCTCTTTGCGCAGGAAAAACTATGTAAACGTGTCACCCAAAATGTCCACTTTTGCACGACCCCTTGTATCCTCCAAAAAGGTCAACAAATAGTGCCATCCCTCTGCCTTCTTCAACTGCTCTCTCTTGACTTCACCCAGCGTTTCAAATGCCTTGCCCACTAGATTGGCTGCCAATCGTGGTCCTAGATATGGCAGATCTTCTGTTTTGCAGGCGTCTGCCCGCAACTCCACTCGGATCTTGTAATCCTCGTCGGTGCTCCAATTTCCGTCCCACCACGGAAACTTTGGATCGATCATCCCCTCATATTCCTTTGGAATATTCATTGAGCCCACTCCCCAAACAATGCTGTCGCCAACAACCAATGTACAATGCTAAATGTCGCCCCTGCAACACCAATGCAAAACAGTTCAATGTCAGCTTCGACAATGTAAACTCAACACCACAAGCCCCTCGGAGCGAGAGGCTCCGCTACCATGTAAATTCGGTAGGGAGTCTCACAGTCCAAAACACAACTGGTCACCTTTCTCACACAACCAAAATCCGAGCACAACGTTGGTTTTCCGACAATGCAATGGCGGCAAGGTCGATAGAACGTCAGGCTATCCAAACTAAGATCAGGGCACGTCTCGGGCCCAAACACCATGGATACGCTTTCGGTCAACATACACATTCAAATTCACAGAGGCCATCGCTATTAGGTTGGAGGCCATCGCTACTAGTAGCGAGAAGCTACTGGAGACCGCTGATTACCTGATCTGTTCGTTGTCCACCGAGCAAAAGGAGGAGAAGAAGCAGATGCACCAACTGAATGTTTTTTCAACATGAAAGGCATTTGCACAGAGTTCTAGACAGTAAGCACCAAACAAAAGAATCGCAGGCAGCCAGACAAAGGTCTTTGCAAGACGGCTTTGTAGTCCTTGGTGTATATAAGTGAGTGCCTTATTGAAGCCTTAATATTTACACCTAGTAAACCAGCTCAGCTCCATGGCCTGGGTTTCCTTCGGGCCTAGTGGTTTGCGGTTTCCATGGCTAGCCGGCTGTGTTTATAATTAATCGTCTCACATTCACGACAAAAATGAGCATGTCGTCAGACAATGAAGTAGCAAGCTGTCGTTAGAGCTGTTCATTAGGTGTACTGAATGAACTAGTACAAAAAGTTTTAATTAGTACTGTTATATATTATATAATGTTATATAGTTATTAGTTATACTACAATTGTTGTTGCTGTGTGTCGTTCATGCGCAGTTGGTGAAGTTCTTCTCCAGCCAGGACTTTTGGACATGCCTCTTTGTTGCGCAATGAGAACAGTTGTCACATGTTGTCACCCTTTGACCTGATATAAAAGAGTCAAGCAGTTAAGCAGCAATCCTGAAAATAACAGTCAAGCAGTCAATCATAACCATAGTCAATCAATCAAGCAGCAATAGATAACTAAAATAGACTAAAATCTTTTGGAATGATTTTGCCACTCCTGGCGATCCACCGTGCCGCGAGTCTTGAAACCAGGAGCAGCGAGTCTTTCTTCTGGCGCACTGTCCGCAAGCTGTAGTCCTTTCCAGTATTTTGCAGGTCGAGTTTGAGGCCGAGCAGACATGGTTCTACTTGGTTCTACTCAAAGGGCACATAAAGCATTGTTCAGTCAATATGGAAATATGATAGCCTTGCTACTTAGGTTTGAGGAGATTTTGAAAGAACAGACCAGCAATATGTTTGGAACGACATTTTTTTTGCATATATATATGTACACATATGTATTTATATATATATACACATATGTATTTATGCACATATGCAGATATAGGTGACCGTGTGTGCGTGTGTGCGCGCACTTTTAGACGGTTCACCAATCATTTTGCTGGTCTCCGCTCTGAGGCTTGTGATTCATAATTCACAATTGTTTAAAGTCGCTTTTCAGAGATTGACCTTTGCTTGGAGGTTGCCAAAATGTCAGCAGGCCACTGGAGAGACACGTTGACAGAACTGACAGGTGCAGAACGGTCAATTCAAAGATTGATACAGAATGGGTTCTGCATTAAGCATGGCAGAACATCCTGTCCAAAGTGACATCTGGAAGCAGACAGTCGCATCCTGGGACCTCTCACCTCGTCCTGAATGCTTCAGATGCATGCCGCTTGCGGCAAATGACAAGCTTTGGGCTCGCTGAGGTTGCAACCCTCAGCGAGATTCTGCAGACAGCACCCACGCTGAGGAGCCCATACAAGGCTGATTCATATTTTGTCCAGGATGATGGTCTATTGAGTCTATTCCATTGTGAACGTGTCTAACATGTGTTGATTCATAGTCACCATATTGTGGAACACGTATCGTATGTATATATATATATACATACACATGTATATATGAGGCACCTCCGATTTGGACCGGAAAGCCATGGGGCGACGTTTTGGGTGCTGCGCAGCACTTGCCTCAGACATGCGACAGATGCACAGGGGTACTCAAGTCCTTCACACCTTCAGCTCGTTGGAAAAGGCACCGGACTGGACTTCTTCTTTTCCCAGTAGGCAAGATGGCGAGCAGAGGGTGATTCAGACTGGAGTCTACATTGGCTGAAATGAACGGGAACATAAGAGTGAAGAAGCTTGCGAATGTATAATTGGAACATGTTGAGAAGGTCGAGCCTCGTGCTGTGAGCCTCGTGCTGTGCACTCACAATGGAATTGAATGCAGGAGTTTCGTTCCCCACAGTTCAATTGAAGACCTTCGGTTGTGTACGGAAAGTTTAAGGTGGAATCTTACACAACAGAAATGATAGGAACTGCTTCTGTCTGGCACAAACGGAAAAGCATCGGAAAACAGCAATATCCACCCAAGCCGTACTACAAGTTGTCCGAAAACTGCGCTAGCACCAGGAACAAGTTGTTCCGAGTGGTGTTTTCAGCCAAACCATAGTCCAACCCCTTGTTGTTTTCGCCAGGTGAGCAGCAGTTCCACGTTGATTTTGTTCCTGCTGCGAATTGGCCTCAAGCACAGATGTTTTGAACTGGTTTCTCTACAAATTCTGGTTTGCTCCAGTTCGTCTAACTTTGTTGCAAGCCATCACACCGGGCTAGGTCTATTTGGGCCAATCGTCGCTGTCGAGGGCGCAGGGACTTGGGCAATCTTCAGGCTGCAGATTTGCTTCATATTGCTTCCAAACCGAACAATGCAAAAGATGCCCTCGACCGAGTTCTCCCACGCCGTGGTGACGCTGCGACCGATGCCCGATGTCGTGCTAGGGCGTGCCGTTGGGCACGTGCATTCAGAAATGCTCTCAGCACCCTTCTTGCAGGTGCATCTTGGTGCATTTTTTGCAACGTCGAGCTAACATTCAAGAATTCCATTGCGCAGAAAAATGAACCACCATTGCACGGTAACTAGTAGAAATACTTTATCAACATGACTTGACTTGAGTCGAAAGGTCTGCCACCTTCTGGCACTGGCAGCCTGGGGGTATGGGCTTTGATCAACGTTCCTCTAAGCAAGCAGAGTGCCGTCGGTTTTGCAACTGACACAAGTTGGACCTGAGGATGCTTTTTGTCTTCATCCTGCACCTATCAACTCTCCACAGATGAAGGCACACCAAAGGAACTTTGTGCATGGCAAACTGCGACGAAAGCCACACGCACCACAAAATCAAAAACACGTGCGCCGTGCGCGTGGAAGATGAAAGAGAAACAGCCAGTGAAATAGATGTATCTCCATGGATGTTATATGGGCATGGTACTATCAGTTCAGCACATCCATGGTGGTCCATACATGCTCAATATCCACATCACTCCATTGCAGAAGCCGTCGGAACGTTCATTCATCAAGCCATGAAGAAAGATCCACAAAGCAAAAAGCGTCGGAAAGTCTTTCTCCAACGTGCATTCAATTGGATATTGAATATTGATATTGATCCGATCCGAGGTAGACTTGTGGTGAGCGAGCATGAATCCATCCCTTGTGTTAGCCATCGTGATGTCAATCCATCCACGAACTGTAGAATATCGTAGCCCTCCACCCATCCAAAAACATGCATTCATCGATACATCATCACACACTGCCCCCGACAGATGCAAGAAATACGACGACGTGTTGCAGATCTGTTGTACAATCTATCTCGAAATAACATGTTCAACCATGCCTGTGTTGGGTTTCAAGCTTCAACGAGTTGCCTAGATTCTCCAAGCCCCGTCGGCGTCAAAACGGATTCGACCTTTCGGATTCTGCAACCTACAGGAGTGTCCGTTTGGATCGCATGTTTAACGAAACAGTTGTTTCTTGAGGATTGTAGACTTATGCTTTTGAAGAGGTTTCGAAGAGGAGTTCTTCAGTCTCACAACTATATGTTTGATGGCTTCCAACTGCAAACTCTCGCTCCGATTATTGCCGTGGTACATTGTCGCCGTCCAGATTCACACCTAAAACTGTTTTCTGGCAGCCATGGGAACCTCCATTGAGACCATGTGGCGGATACGTAACCCAGAAAGCTGCAACTGGACCTGGGCCTTGCAGCGGGTCACTTTGATGTGTTGGTTTGTGACCGGGCTTCTCAGCATTTGATGTTTCCATATTTTTCCCGCATGATGCTGACCATTGATTCTTCGCAGGTGCCGAGGGAGCCTTTCTGTTCGAGAAACTTGCTTCCCTATCACCATTGGAGCAGGAGTTGGTGTCGCTACCTTAGCTGTGCCCTGTTTCGGAAAATCTGGAGCGTCAATCTTTGGAAACCGGAAAACCAGTGCATGCAAAGATAAGCAAATTGGGCCCGCAGAGGACTTCACCCCCCCAAATGCCCTGACAACTGCCCTTGCTGTGTGCGTGCTTGGACATGAATTGGTTTGGAGGCATGAATGCTTGTGTCAAAACCTCAAAAAGTAAACAAACAACACGATATCGTTTTTAATCCTTGTACTATGGTTGCCGTTGCTCTTTCTTCTCAAGTTGCTTGCATGGTTGGCATGTTTGTTTGTTCGCCCAGTTTCATGGACAGGGCTGCCAACACCACAAAATCTCATTCACTACACATCATCTCCAACTAGCACATTCGCAACAGATGGTAGGACAAGACAGAAAGAACACACACATGATAGTGTGGGTGAACAGAATGCTACTGTAACGCTTACCTTACCACCGCTGAGTGGCGTTGGGTGTGACCTTGCATCCTGAGGCATGAAACGATCCGATCACCCAGTGCTGACTGGGCGCCCAGGGCTGGCCACCAAGTAGTGGCTGCTTTCTCAGAGCTCCAAATCTGGACCAAGCGGACAGCATCCATGCGGGCATCCATGCGACGGTTCTGAGGCAGTTCGCACTGACAATGGGACGCGCTTAGTGCTGATGGGTGGCATTGGTGTCAATCCTTTTGCCAACACCACAGCGTCCTAGTCTAAGTTGGAACATTCTTGCACCAAAATTGTCGAATCTGTCCCCCTGAGGGAAGAAGATGGGAAGAGCAAGCCCGCTCAGGCCTGCCAGCAAGACAACTTCAATGATGATGAAGCTCCATAGTGTGCCATGCAACTAAGATGTCAATTTACTTCCAGGATAGCAAGCGACAAGGCAAGCTCAATGAGAAAAAGCAGAAAGCCGGCAAAGGCCATCGAAAGTATCAAAGGCCACCGATTGATGGCCCGGCTCCACACGGCAGGAAAAGGATCTGCAACCAGAGCAGAAACCCGATCAAGAAGGATTGCAAGCCGTCAGCCTGAACTCCAGAAAGCTTTCTTTGTTCCGTAGAGTGATGGTGTCACAATGTGTCACGGTTCTTTTTCATCCAATGCAGGATCAGCTTTCTTTGTTCCTTAGAGTCATAGTCTGAGCCTTACGCGAGGACCGCCAATGCAACTGGGAGGCAGCCCAAGACGGTCAAAACACGTCACAAACAAACAATCGTGGCTTGCGAGCGGCAGACCCCGAAGGCTAGATGTTGTTCAAGCATACTTATCTCGCCATGTGCTGTTCTCAGACTGCAGAGAAATGGCAATCACCAGGTCTTGACAAAGCACGACAGAGACAAACTTATCACACTGGTATTAAACCATATTATATAAATCATTCTACACGCTGGCCAATGCATTGTGTTATGGGAATAGCATCTACAGTCAAGAACTTTTAACTTGTTTTAGATCTCTCAGCAACACTTCACTGGATGAAACTGCTGAAAGGTTGAGCTGAGTGGTGAGCTTCCACCTCTTCGTTCTCTACCGTATGGCAGCAACACACTTAACGCATGGCAGACGAACAGTCATCCATATGAGTCGAGTTCATATATGAGTCATTGTTTGGTCGTCCTTTTCCGGGACTTTCCGGGCATTGGGATTGTTTTCCATCAATCCATTCAGCGGAACTGCGCCGTCCAGGGCTTGGGGACGTCTGGTGGAGCGAGGATGAGGGCGCCACGTGGAACATGGCCCAGCTCGGCTGCCCGGCGCCGGACGACACGGCGCAGACGCGGACGCTTCGCCTGACACAAACGTTGGCAACGTTCCACTGCGACGTGGCAATCGAGGCAAGTTGCTCCATGGGGTCCAAGAGCTTTCTTTGGATCTGTGGCGAGTGAAAACCACCTGCTGGTCTTCGGTGGCATCAAGAATCTTGAGGTGCACACCAAAAGCTCTCTTTCGATAAGCTAAGACTTAGCTAAGAGAGTCTTTGGCAGGTGACATCCAACAGCAGTCTTGATGATCTTGGGCGGCAGTACGTATCATTCTGAGACTTGAGAGATGAGGCACCATGTTCGACGAGTATCGGGATCTTGCAGCCTCAGGTCAACGACGTGTGGTATGCTTCCTTCCCTGAGCTTCAATGGCACGAGCTTCCGTTGGCACCTTGGGAACCTCGAGCTGGTTTCCAGGCCAACCTGGCTTTGACTTGTACTTCTTTTGATGGTGTTTGCTTCAAATGAATCCTGACAGAGTCCCTCTATGTCCTTCTCTGTTTGCATGAAGAGCGAGAGAAAGGAGTTGCGTGCCATACAGCACGGATAAAGCTTGTCGGAGTATGGACAGTTGGCAGGTTACATGAAGGAATGAGCATCACAATGCACCGAAAATATATGCAATTCATAGTACTTGGTTGATACAAATTTTTAATGGTACGTAAGAGTATTTTGGTTTGTTTGTGTTGTTGACCTTGGAGAAGGCTTTGGCCCGATCTCTGGATGCCGTGGGCGAGGCTCCTCGCACCTTCGCACCTTTGCACCGTGACAGTGAGGATCCTGGATGTGCCAGGAAATTATTCTTCTTGGGGGCCGGTTGGAGAATGGCAACCTCAAAAACGATGCCCGTTTCTCAAAGACAAGACACACGGAAGACGCAAGAACGAGGATACGACATACATAAATTTGATGCATAGATTCTGTGTGTTGTTTTTCTTTTCGTCATGTTTGATCGCTATTCAGAAACGATGTTCCCCTTTGGCCTGAAATCGAAGGATGAAACTGAGGTTTGGTCGCTGATGATAGAGCTTCCAAGGCGAGACATGCGTCTTGAAGCTTCACCATCTTCTCGCACAACTCGTGGCAATGCCGTACTCCTGGGAGTTGATCCGAACCGCCCTCTCTGCAAAGGTGACCCGTCAGAGGCTGTAAATCTGCCGCGAAAGATTTGCACGCAAAAGAGCCTCTTTAAATGATGTTGTTTTTTTTTTATAATCTAAATGTATTTTTGACATGTTTCGATTGATTTCCGTCCTAAAAAATAAGGGTGTCTTTTTTGTGAGTTCAATATGTTTTAATGGTTTTTGGAACAATGATTGTTTCAAGTTATTTTTTTATATGTTTAAGATTTTTGGAAAAATATGCCCAAAGTGTGATTGACCACAAGCCTCTTGCTCAAGAAAGAGGCATCGACCGTTCATCATCATCATCATCATCATCATCATCATCATCATCATCATCATCATCATCATCATCATCATCATCATCATCATCATC